CCAAGTATTGACCCCTGGGGGACTCCACTGGTTACAGGCTTCCAACTTGAACCTGCTCCAATAATAATTACCCGTTGGGTCCTGTCACACAGCCAGTTCTCAATCCACCTCACTGTCCCCTCATCCAGCCCATACTGCCTCAGTTTCCCAATGAGGATGTTATGGGAGACAGTGTCAAAAGCCTTGCTGAAGTCAAGGTAGATGACATCTGCTGCCCTCCCCTCATCCAACCAACCGGTTATGGCATCATAGAAGGCTATCAGATTGGTCATACATGATTTACCCTTGGTAAACCCGTGTTGCCCACTTCCAATAACCCCCCACTCTTCAACTTGTTTGGAGATGACATCTAGTATGAGTCTCTCCATCACCTTCCCAGGGACAGAGGTGAGACTAACTGGTCTGTAGTTCCCAGGGTCCTCCTTCTTGCCCTTTTTGAAGACTGGAGTGATGTTGGCCTTCCTCCAGTCCTCAGGCACCTCTCCTGTTCTCCACGACTTCTCAAAGATGATCGAGAGTGGTCCAGCGATAACGTCTGCCAGCTCCCTCAGCACAATATCTTCCCATTAATGCTTGTGCCTTCTCCTCTCTTAATTTATCATGTCTTGTCTTAATTATTTTTTTTTTCTCTTCCCCGTTCTTTCCCATCTATAACGTGGTCTTTAATCCCGACCCTTCCAATATACTCTCTATACCCTTACCCTTTCGCCTTGTTCTTCGTCATTCTTGTTTTACCTCATTTAACCCAATCCTTAAATCTAAGCTCTGTCCCTTTCCTTCTCGCTGTCTTGTTTTCTAAGTTATTTCCCTTTTCCTGCCTATATCACCTTCTGAGCATTATACAGCTGTAGCAGATTAGAAGGCAGAGAGCCCCGCAGAGGCGTGAAACTGGTAGATTTTTTGGTTTGAACAAAAAACACCACTTATGTGTTTATACCACAGGGAGGTCACTTTTCTAGCCTGCAAGAGTGACAACTGGCACAGGAGCGTAAGCAAGCACTGTGTAAGGAGCCGAGTTACAAAACTAGATGTGAACAACCTCAGCAATGTCACACCCAGAAATATACAGAAGGCTCTTCTCTGCCGTGACGTTTTAAATCACTGGGAATCACATTTGTGATGAGTCTGTAATTCATTAGTGATCTCATGGCAGACCAGCGCTTGCGGGTAACACACCCAGATCAGTGTTCTCAGGCTGGGCACTCGGGGTGCTCCAAACCAGGCACTGAAGACCTGAAATGGTGCTGGTATTTACAGCTTTTGCAGCTGTAACTCTCTGGCAGCATGCAGGGAGTTTGTGTGCCTGCCGTAATCACAGGATCCATCTCCCCAGCCTTGGTTCCCTGGCAGCTGGCTGTCTAGGCCGTGCTATCTGTCTGGGATCTCTGGGTAGTCACTGGAGAGGGATTGGCACCTCTGGGGCACGTTATTCCCTCTTCTAGTAGACCCAGGGATTGGCTTGAGAAGGTGCTTCTCTTTCCCTGCTGAATACAGAGGAAGCCCAGATACCTACCTGCTAGCTGGCTGAAATGAATCCCCACCCCAAAAGGCAGCTGCCTGAAATATTTTGCAGTTGTGTTGGATGTTGGTTTATTCCTTCAGGGGGCAAAAAGAAAGAAAAAAAATCAAATAAAACCCCTTCATTAAATGGTCAGCTGTTAACTGCTTTATATAGTTATGTCTTCATGCCTGCTGCAATGTAAGAGGTGTGTTCTAGAAAGAAGGTGAGCACTGAATTTAGCCAGCAGATCCAGTGAGAAAAATCTGTATCGTGCTGTTAACATTAAATATGTTTTACAGAACACTTCTTAGGTCTTGGTGAGAAGTTGGTATATTCTGACTTTACATGTAACACTGACCATGAGCATACTCTATGTATTAATCTCATTTTACGTTTTTTATCTTGGCCTTTACTTTTGCTTGGGGGGAGAGAAGTTAATTATTCACGTATGACCCACAGTAATTAGTGTGCAGTTTTGGATAAGTATAAATGAAGTATGACAGCTATGCACGCAAGGGTGAGCAAGTTTCAATAGGAAACTTTCTGAGAAAAGATCATAGAAACTCAGCATTGCATAATCTGGACTTTTTTTTTTTTTTTTTTTTTTTTGGGGGGGCTGTCCTGATCTTGCTGACAATTGTTTACCTAAGCAGGATGTGTTTGAGAACTATTTTTTTTTGCTGTTATTTTCATTTACTATATATGCATAGCCACTAAAACATTCGCAGTCGTTTGGATACAGGGGGAAAAACAATGTGGTATTTTGACAGGACGAACAGCTTGGTTGGTTGGAAGGTATACTTCTTTTAATCTTAAGTAAAGATGGAAACGTAATATTATAGATGTATTTAGTTCTCTTCAAGTAACCCCTAGTGTTTTTTAAAGCATCCTATCATTTAGCTTGTCAGTACTTCTCACCAGCATCCCCAAAATGCCGTGTACTGGTGTGGGCATGGAGTCCACTGGGGGGCGAGCTTGAATTACGTATCGTCTCTCCAACCGGAAAAACCGGGAGCGAAACCTGTAATAGTTCGAGTGTTTCATAAATCACAAGCCCTGGTATTAAATTTCTCTTTCTAGTATCAGCTTCTTGTTGTTGTTTTGCCAGATCGTCAAATGAAGCTATCAGGAGGTATCGGGTGTGATGGAGAGCCCCCGGGGCTCGCAGGCGATCTCGCAGCTCAGGTTTATCAACTCTTTCCGCAAGGAGAAACTGTGAGAAATTGGCTCACCGGAGTTGTGTTGAGCTAGTTTCTGCTTCGGTGAACTTAAAGAAAATTACTAACGTGTGACTCTACCAGTGAGTAATCTCTAAAAATGGGGGAAACCGGCCGCCCTGGGTTGCGTTCCCGCTCTGTGCGTGCCTGCCTTGCGCTCGGCGTAGGTTCTGTGTGCCCCAGGAACGGGGAGAGCTGTCGCTCCTGCACCCCTACAGCCCCCGGTGGGGCTCACCTGCTTTAGTTTGCTGCTTCTACTTCGAAAAAGGAAACAACCATAGCCTTATTTTATACATAAC